TCAAACGTATATTACATGGTGTAACCTACTCTCATTTATTACATACTGCTCTTTCCGAGTCACGGGCCTCAGACATGGAGGCCGACCCAATCATACATTCCAGTTGAGTCCAATTTTGAAAAACCTAATAAACACAATCACCTGAACTCTTCAATACAACTGACTGACTGACTGAGTTTGGTTTTACGCCGCTTTTAGCAGTATTCCAGCAACATCACGGCGGGGGACACCAGAAATGGGCTTCACACAATGTACCCATGTGGGGATTCGAACCCGGGTCTTCGGCGTGATGAGCTAACGCTTTAACCACTAGGCTACCCCACCGCCCCTCTTCAATACAAACGTTTCATATCAAATCACAGACACTCTTAAGGGCAATAACATTTTTTCCGGGTAACATCACCACAAAATATTTCCAAGGAGAAAATGGTTATTTTGATAAGATGGATATGACTGATAAAAGAACATCACTCATATTTCCCCCCGAAAGCACTATAATACGGCGGTGGGGTAGCCAAGTGGTTAAAGCGTTCGCTCGTCACGCCGAAGACACGGACTCGATCCCATACATGGGCACAATGTGTGTCCCCCGCCGTGACAGTGCAGGAAGATTGCTAAAAGCGGCGTAAAACCATACTCACCCACTGACTAATACGAGTACAAATGGGCAAATACATAAGCTCATGCATTTAACCATTCCGTCAGAGAATAACAATAGTTGTGCCTGTTATACCTCAAGTTTCAGTTTAACACGAAGGTTCATTCCCTCCGACATGAGTGTGTCACGGGGTGCACACCGTGTGCAATGCTTTGCACACAGGTGTCACACGAATGGCGTACGGGTTCCACACGAGTGACAACATTCGTCACCACTCGCCCCTTTCCGTAACCTCCAAGTCGCTATTCGGCTTGTCCCGGAATAACACGAGTTGGTAACGAATGGAGTGACAAGCACTCCGCACACGGACGGCGTCACGTGAGGTCCATGGGTGTAAGGGAAATAGACTTCCAGCAACCAGTGTAACTAAAACTAAACAGACACTTCCCGTTTTAACTACTAAAGGTCACTTATGTTTCGATCTAAGTATCTGTTACAAAAGCTGGGTAGTATTTATGATATACAAGAAGTAGTATTTATTATATACAAGGGGTAGTAATTATGATATACAAGAAGTAGTATTTATGATATACAAGGGTAGTATTTATGATATACAAATTGTAGTATTTATGATATACAAGAAGTAGTATTTATGATATACAAATTGTAGTATTTATGATATACAAGGGTAGTATTTATGATATATAAATTGTAGTATTTATGATATACAAGGAGTAGTATTTATGATATACAAATTGTAGTATTTATGATATACAAGGAGTAGTACTTATGATGTACAAATTGTAGTATTTATGATATACAAGGGTAGTATTTATAATACACAATGGGTTGTATTGATGATATACAAGGAGTGGTTTCATGATATACAAGGAGTAGTATTTATGATATACAAAGGGTAGTATTGTGATAAACAAATTTCCTAGAGAGAAATCATATCAGGACATATCGCTTGTCAAACATTTCACTTAGACCGGGTTCGATTCCCCACATGGGTACAATGTGTGAAGCCCATGTCTGGTGTCCCCGCCGTGATATTGCCGGAATATTGCTTAATAAAGGCGAAAAACTAAACCCACTCACTCACTTAGTCCCTGCCCTCACCAGGCTCCCGTTGTTCACAGAGATCATAAGAGTCGTGTAACGTGAGCGATGATCATGGATCATAAAACCAACAAAAGCTTTTTGCTACCGATCTATTTGTGGTGCCGTGAATTCAAATGGCTGTTTCTGTCACGTGGGAATTTTTGTATTGAATCGCCTTTTTAGACAAACAATTTGGCAATTTATTGACAATTTCGTGCCATCCACCGTTTGTTGTATTTATTTACTATCTGCTTCATCATCACGGACAACGGGGAGAATCTTACCACTAAGCAATACCAGAGATATTTTTATAAGCTATAACATTATGTGGAATGGGAGGGCGAAGTATTTTGGTTGTTTTTTAAATTATGGCACTGTTCCAAAACATACCAATTCAATTCTCTTAAGGGGCGGTGGGGTAGCCTAATGGTTAAAACGTCCGCTCGTCACGCTGAAGACCAGGGTTCGATTCCCCACATGGCTACAATGTGTGAAGCCCATTTCTGGTGTCCCCCGCCGTGATATTGCTGGAATATTGCCCAATGGGTGTAAAACTAAACTCACTCATTTAGTAATTGTTCTCGCAATTGGGTTACCATGGAGTGGAATATGGTACTCTCTCCGTCAATTATATCAATGCTTGAAGCGTTACTTGTGGCGAATACGGTGTGCGCGTATTGCGGCGAATACGGTACATATATTTTGATTACAGACCGTTGCTCGGTTATACCTATCGTGGTAAACGTTACAGTTATTGCGGTTCGATCCAGTGTTAAGGTGAGATGTCCCCGGCAGCTCAACAGAATCATTCATAAAGAGGGTTCCTCTTTAGGTTTTCATATTGTCGATACAGATCACAAACTGACAATCAATTCTCTTCCGGAGGAGGAAGAACACAAGAATATATTACTGGATGGCTTCCCGTGCAGGACGAATGCGACTTAAGAAACATTATTGCGTTTTTTACTTTAAAGGGAACATGTGACGCTACAAAATAGCAAGAAAATGTAAACCTCGTTTTGAGAAAGGCAGCGCTCGGTATGTGCGTTCAATGACTACCTTTACTTCCAGTAGACAGAACATATGTTAAGTGTAAGAAACAAGGATTATATACTTCTCAAGGGAAGTTAAGGAACACCAAAATTGTCAAAGAATTTGTCAAAGTGTCATTTCAATTAATCCACTCATAACCAATTATTTTACTGTTATACAATGCTTCCTTTCCCGCAGATCTGATCTGATTTTGATTAGATTTTTCTGTTATCAAACCTAGGACAGGTTAACCAATGGTTGATGGCTCGGGGAGTTTGATCGCGAATTTTCAACCAGGTCAGTCAATGGGAACACATTGTCGTCTCTTTGGTTCATATTCTCGATGTTTTTGTCTGTACATTACACATGGTATAGGATAATATAAGTTGTTCATACACTGTCGAGCGTGTCCATAGTCTACGGGGTAGAGCGTCTACTGGGGGAACAACAGTTTGGTGGTTCGATCCCCCTCAAAAGATGCCTGAAGATGGTGCTTGTGGTTACCCTCGTGGCGCTCGGCATTACGTGATAGAACAAATACTGGTCAGTTCCGAGTCAGTAAACTACGTCAGAATGGGGTGTCCATGGGTTGAACATGTACGGTCGAACCCCAATGTCTCGAACTCGGTTGAGACGAATTCTCGGTTGTGTCGAACTCATCTCTGTCCCTGACGATTTCCTTATATTCATCATTGACTGTACTGAAAATATGGAACTTTCCCAAACTTGTTTATATTGAGTTCCTGATGGTTGTTTTCAGTTTAGTAATGTTTTTTCGCTAAAACAGATACAATTGTACTTTTTTATATTTTCAGTCTAATTTCTTCGGTGTTGAAATGTGTATATACTGCAAATTGTTGATATTTTGTATGATAAAAACTTTCACTTTTTCTTCGGTGTTAAAATGTCTGTACACTGCAAATTGTTGATATTTTGTATAATAAAAACTTTCACTTTAGGCATTGTTTTGTTCACAATACCTCTGGTCCTCAACCTACCAGCACGTACACAACGTGTTTCACTGCCGGTGTGAGTCACGTAACTTCGTCACTGCCGCTGCAGGATTTAAAGATGTTTTGTTGTGATGTTATTGTTTGTACATTAGGGAAAGGTCTGGTTGGTTGGGGTCGGTTGACGTTATTTGCATTATTATATTACAAAAATACGAAGCATATTGTTGAAACACAATAGAATATTTAATGACATGTCGCAAAAATAAGCAAATGTATCATCATTCAGTCGCTATTTGGGAGTGAGTGAGCAAGTTTAGTTTTAGGCAACATTTAGCAATATTCCAGTAATATCACAGCACGGAACACCAGAAATAGGCTTCACACATTGTACCCATGTGGGGAATCGAACCTTGCCTTCGTGTTGAGATACGCGAAAATGTTTATTTCCAGAGTTTCACTTGTAAGTTATGGACCTTACAAGGGAAACTGAAGCTGCAGTGGCCTCCTTCCCCTTTATTTTACTTTCATATTTGGAACACAGGTATTTGGATATTTTGTTTCCAAGGACAAACAATTGATGTGTTTTGCTACTCTGGAATATATTATCTTCAGATTTTGCATCTTTCCCTGGCAGAAATATCCCTTAATGGTAGGGTTTGTGTCCAGTGTACTTAACTAGACCTGTGAAGGTCAGCAACCCATGCTTGTGGTAATAACCGGTGGTCTGACTCGCTGACTTGGTTGACACATTATCATATCCCAATTGTGTAGATCATGTTCATGCTGATGATCATTGGATTGTCTGGTCCAGACTCGTACAGACCGCCACCATATAGCTGGAATATTGCTGAGTGTGGCATTGAACAACCACACTCAGGGTGGTCCCAGGGTGGATTATTTACATGCTGCTATAATAACTGAGAGCAGCAATAAGAAAGAAAGAATGTATACAGCATTGCTGGCTAAGACGAGAGTGATTGAGTGAGTGAGTTGGGTTTTACACTGCTTTAGCAATATTCCAGCAATATCACGACAGGGCACACCAGAAATGAGCTTCACACATTGTACCAAGGTGGTGAATGGAACCCAGGTCTTTGGCATGACAAGCGAACAGTTTAACCACTAGGCTACACCCCTCCGCCAGATGAGAATGACAACCAACAATGATAGGCTTCATATGTGCCCAAGGGAGGCAACTCTGCACAACAACTGGTAGCGCCTTGGACGACCAGCCCCTTCCAACACAGCAGGGATTGTTCTGAATGGTGTATTACAGCTTGAAACACAGTTTTCCAATAAAATGAAATGAAACCTTTTTGTCAGAGGAGTCATTTAATATTTACACAATATAACAGTGTATCATATTCAAATAACAAAGAATCTTCAGTAGTCAGGAGAGATAATTCTAATGTAGCCATAATTATTTCAAAACAACTTTGATTTTATGTACCTCTGTTTGCAGCAATTCAGATACACCTTAGCATCCCTCACCATCAGCATAGCAGTCTTGGATATTAAAAAAGCTTGTCTTTCAGGTGAGACAGACCAAACAAACATGAGCCTGTCCTCAACAGATAGCTTTTGTTTTATATGATTTGTTTGAATATTGTTTAATTCTAATGGTTTGTCTTAAACTGATGTTCATTGAAATGTCTAAGTTAAAACAGCTGTAGCACAGTAATGCGCAGATATACTGAGAGAAACAAATAAAGGAACAAAGTAAAATTCAAGTGTTCCTTAACATTTTCCAGTTTTCATCACCAGCTTTGAATAGCGCTGTGGGAGGAAATCTGAAAATAAAGAAACACTGCCATAAAGTGGTGTTCCCTTATTTGTTTCCCTCAGTATATTTCCTAAATAGAAAATGTGTGGCTCAAACTTTCTTAAAATGACCTGAAAACAGCTCTGACCTACAAATATCCCTTTGATTGGTAATATCCATGTACACATTAACAAATATTGTACAAATCAATTTTTACAGCTTTTACACAATTTCATGAAAGAAGGTTTTTAGTCCCACCATAGCTTGTTTTACCATCCAGGAATTGTTAGTATTTTATCCTGGTAGCACAATGTCCAGCACTTCATGATAGATGAACCAGTCATAAACTCAGTCCTTCATTGAGATCAGCAAGCACTTAACCACTGGGCTACCCAACCGCCCCCTTATGCTCAGCATGAAGCATGGGGTGAATGACTTTAAGCGGATGGTGTAGCCCATATTGTGATGATGATGATTCTATGTGTCAGAATCTTCACGAAGAAATGATGACCAAGCACCTGCTCATCCAATGGAATAGATCGGTAGGACTATATATGCACTGTCACCATGACAACTCATTATATATGCACTGTCACCATGACAACTCATTATATATGCACTGTCACCATGACAACTCATTATATATGCACTGTCACCATGACAACTCATTATATATGCACTGTCACCATGACAACTCATTATATATGCACTGTCACCATGACAACTCATTATATATGCACTGTCACCATGACAACTCATTATATATGCACTGTTACCATGACAACTCATACTCCCAATCCCTACTTGGTAGGTCTCAATCCCTTTCATCATCACACTGGCATATTATCCAATATTGCAGAGCTGAAGCAGATGCTTCTGTGATGTCCTGAGCCAGAATGATCATGATGGTTGCACATAAGAATTTTACGTTGATCTCCTCATCAAAGTCTTTCATGTTCTGGTGCCTTGGCCACTGTCTCCCCGAGTTCCTCAAGAAGTTCTCGTCTGTAGTCGTCAAAGTCACCGTCGATCTCGCTGATGCCTCGGTTCTCTACTACCCACAGCTGACAGTTTGTCTCTCGGATGAGACGCTCGTCGTGACTCACAATGATCACACCTGTAGAAGAGGACCAGATCATGAATACCAACCATCACACAAACCACAGCACATCATGAATGCAAACAACACTACCATATATTACCGTAGATAAGCCGAATTTTGAAGACCCAAAAAAGCAGCCTCTAGAAGGGGGTCAGTTTATCTACAGGTAACACTTTCGTCAAACTTTTTTTTTCTGGTGACAGTAAGAAAATGACATATTGTTTCACGTGAACGAACTAGAGAAAACGACTTTGTCAGTGAAAAACCCTTTTGATACTGATATTAAGGGGCAAGTTAGGGGGTCAGCTTATCTATGAGATCGGCTTATCTATGGTAATATACGGTATATAATGAACACAAACCAGGGTATATCATGAAAGCATATCGTTGTAAATCATAAATGCAAATCCCATTAAATCATGAATGCAAATCCCATTAAATCATAAATGCAAATCCCATTAAATCATAAATGCAAATCCCATTAAATCATAAATGCAAATCCCATTAAATCATAAATGCAAATCCCATTAAATCATGAATGCAAATCCCATTAAATCATAAATGCAAATCCCATTAAATCATGAATGCAAATCCCATTAAATCATGAATGCAAATCCCATTAAATCATAAATGCAAATCCCATTAAATCATGAATGCAAATCCCATTAAATCATGAATGCAAATCCCATTAAATCATAAATGCAAATCCCATTAAATCATGAATGCAATCATGTCTGTCAGGTTTCAAGTTCCCCAATCTAAGATTAACAAATTTGTCGACCTGCTATCATTTACCTCTGGTGAACATATGGCCTAAGCTTGGCTCTTACTTCATCAAATTAAGCCAGTCAGTTAATCCATAACTTCTCACAGTTCAGAGCTAATTCTCTGAACCTAAGCCCCAGACATACGCCATCATCCTAAGAAGGTATGACCATGACTTGGGTTTGCCATATAATTAAACTCAAGACAAAAATCAGCAATTTCACAAAGGCTCTTTCTCTAAATCTAGGCCTGAGAACCATAGACAGCTCTGGTGACTGTCTGTCACATACCTCCTGTGAACTCCTGAAGAGCCTCGGCAAGAGCATCAATTGACTCAATGTCAAGGTTGTTAGTGGGTTCATCCTGCAAGAAGAGTCATGTTCATGAGGTTAACACTTTACATAATACAGGGATTATTCCAGCCACAGCAGCTTGTAACGCTAAAACTGCCATAAAGGTATGTTCTGTCACTAACGATAGTGACAGTACACACCAACACACCTTGATGGCAGTTTTTAACGCTACAAGCCCCTGTGGATGATTTTAAGTGGGGTCACCCATTTTATTTTTTTAATATTTTATTTACTTTTTGGGGGAGAGGGAGGTACATAGTGTACATGAGATGCAGGGGGGTCACTTACTTTGTACATAAATTTTAGCGGGGGTTGTTATTCATATTGTACATGCATCTCCATAAAAATCATCCCCACCAAGTCATAAATTATGAACAGTCCCTAAGGTAGAATTGGGTTATCCTTAACTTCATTTGGCAAGTAGATCTCCTTTCAGTGAATGTTAAACGTCACTAGCCGGATCAGGCAGCTAGTCTTGGCTGACTACGCCATTATCATCCTACACCTGCTGCTTAGATTGCTGCTAATCACAATTCATTTCAAATTGTCATCTTATACTGCTCAGTGCAGCGGTAACATAAAATACCCCCAACAATCCTCAGTGATCTCACCAAGATAAGAACATCTGGAGCTCTGCAGGAGAGTTCTGCCATTGCCACTCTAGCCTTCTGACCCCCGGACAGATCGCTGTTCTTTATGGTGTGAGCGTGACTAGCCAGGCCGAACTTCCCCAGGATCTTCCGGCAATCCTGATACTGCATGTTGAACAGCCGCTGCAAGTGAGTAAGTTTAGTTTTACACCGCATTTAGCAATATTCAAGCAATATCACAGAGGGGGGGGACACCAGAAATGGGTTTCACACATTGTAGCCATGTGGGGAATCGAACCCGGGTCTTCGGCGTGACGAGCGAATGCATTAACAATTGGCTACCCCACTGCCCCGCCACTGCAAGAGTCAGCACAGTGGTCAGGCATAGTTACAACAGTGGGTAAGGGAGATAACTCCCATTCCTGGCTGTGCTTCTATTTTCACATGTGAATCAGTCGAGTTATATTGTCAGTTGTAAGTGCAGCCTAGTTATGTGTAGTATTGAAACGATATGTAGATGTGTGTGTCTGGAGGATGTGTTGAATGAGTGAACATTGTTTAATGATGTATCAGCAATTTTGCAGCTGATTACAGCGATGCTGGTGTGTGGACAATCATGTGAGTGAGTATGGTTTTACGCCGATTTTAGCAATATTCCAACAATATCACGGTGGGGGACACCGAAAATCAGCTTCACACCCATGTGGGGAACCAAACCCATGTCTTTGGCGTGACAAGCGAACGCTTTAACCACTAGGCTAACCCATCGCCCCGTTGACAATCAAGAAAGGCAATGCTTGAAGCAGCAGCCATCTATCTCAAAGCCTGACATACAGCAGCTGTCGCTAAGAACACTTGCTGTAGATGAGATAGTACTTTACTTATATCACAAGTTCCAGGACACTTCAGTATCAAATCTGAATAGAAGTGGTGCCTAGACTTTACCTGAAGATATTCTACTGGGGATTCCTCCAGATTTAGCTGGTCTGCCGAATGCTGATCATACTTTCCTATCCTCTGCAAAACAGAAGCCAGTAAGTACTATTAAGAGCCAAATGCAACACACAATACAAAAGAAATATACAAATGATATATTGTTTTCATTCTTTTTTTTTGCTGGATTAAAATGAATAAAAGATATAACAATAAGAAGTAATTCAATTAAAATCTCACTTTTCATAGATATCGGATCAAATTCTGGCAATGCCAAAACATAAAATTGATAATTGTCTTTAAACTGTTTCAGCATCTTGCCCTTCATTATCATCACTATCATCACCATCATCATCACAGCTGACAACATAACACATGACTATGCAGAATGATCTTGAAGCATACAACTTTTATATGCATTTCAACCCTTACAAGCAGATTACTCAGCTATCAAAATAGAATTGTTTTGTATTCATTTCATTGTTTATTGACAAGAAACATATCTTAATTAACTAGATTCAAACTTGTACAAAATGTTTTCAAAGTAATTATACCCTGTTTTAAAGAATCATCTAACTTACCAAACGATGGTTCTTCCTTATTTCTCCTTGTTGCTGAAATAAGGATAAAATGTCATCAATTATTGAGTTTCATGAGAGTGAGTGAGTGAGTGAGTGAGTTTACTTTTATGTCGCACTCAGCAATATTCCAGCTATATGGCGGCGGTCTGTAAATAATCAAGTCTGGACCAGACAATCAAGTGATCAACAGCATGAGCATCAATCTGCGCAATTGGGAACTGATGACATGTGTCAACCAAGTCAGCGGTCTGACCACCCGATCCTGTTAGTCACCTCGTACAACAAGCATGGGTTACTAAAGATCATTTCTAACCCAGATCTTCACGGGTCATGAGGGGCAGAGATCTTGTAATTTTGAGACTGGCATTTCCTTGTTGCTTCATGCAGCAGTGATCAATGTTCTAGCAACATGACATTAGTTTATCAACAACTGTATCCGAACAATGACACAGGCCATGAGATAGAGAGTGGACCTGGTTAAAAGGATTTGTGGGAGAAGTCAGGAGGGGCCAAGGGCTTAGAGAGGGGGTGGAGGGAAATAGGTTCCCATCTCTCAGAACCCCCTCCCAAGTTCCCCCTCTCCTTTCATCATGGCAATGTATGTTTTTTATGCTCACAAATTATTCTGGACACATATCCTGTGCAGCAAATATTTTCTGTTAGAAAAACCTGAGACAAAGGTCTTTCCTGGTATTTTCTGGTTGTACATCTTAGGTAGTTATTTTTTGTGTGTTAAGGCAAAATGAACCTACTGGTTGTATCTCCTTTGTCAGCAGCTTGAGGAATGTACTCTTGCCAACTCCATTAGGTCCAACTATTGCAACTGAAATAACAAAACATTACACTGCTTAAACCATACAGACAGAGCCATTCGTCTCACTGAAAACCAGGAAGGATTTGCAGTTTTTCCCCCTAATATCTAATTCTCTTCCACGAACAACCTGTGCAGATTCTTCGTCCACTGTTTAATCAAACACCATACTCTGTGTCTGCAGTAATAACAAAGCTGAAATGTCTGAAATGTTTTCATCAACATCATTTAGGTACTGACAATGTAATAAATTTCTTAGGATCAAACGGATTTAAACAAAGGTCAAAAATACTGCTAAGATGTACAGAGTTAACTCCCTTTCCATAATTCCATGTTAACAAACTTGTCAGCATATTTTCAGTAAAGACAATGGCCAGTCAATTTATGTACAAAATAAGTGACCCCTGCATGTCATGTACAAAATCCATTATGAACGGTCCCCTATAATAATGGTCAACGTAAATAGTATCTTCAAGATGAATGAGTACAATTATCATGTACATGAGTTTCTAATCACATAAATAATATAACAGATCCCTCAACATGTAACTAAACATCAGATCACTGTATAATTGATTCCACTTGTTCCTTAGAAAATATACCAAGCCTTGCACAACAAGCCAGTGTTTTGTGTTCAGTATCAGTGTCAGATTCTTTACTAATATTCCATATCATTCTGTCAAGGTGAGGTGAGGTGAAATTGGGTTTAACGTCATGCTTGAGAATATTTTGCTCATATGACGTGCATGCGTGTGTATGTGTATGTGCGACTGCTTGTACTAGCCCAGACTGAAGCTGGTTTTATAGTGCTAGCCCACTGACATACCATGCCGCAGTGAAGCATGAATACCCCACTCAGACACATTATACTGACTCCGAGCCGACCAGTCCTTGTTGTACCCATTAATGCCGAGCGCCAGGCAGGGACCAACAAGTACCATATTTTAACGTCTTTTGGTATGACGCGGTCGGGGATCGAACCCGTGACCTTCCGCTCTCCGGGCGGACGCTCTAACCACTTCACCACGGAGGCGGTTTTCTCAGTCAAGATTATGACAAACCTTTCATAGATCTTGCCCACTAATCTTTCTCAACAACAAATCAGAAGGGAGGCTTCAAAATTCTACACACAAGCAAGCAAGCAAGCAAGTGAGCAAGTGAGCGAGCATGGTTTTACACTGCTTTTCGCAATGTTCCAGCAATATCACACCAGGGGACACCAGAAAATGAGTTTCACACAATGTACCCATATGGGAATCGAACCCGGGTCTTCGGCGTGACAAGCGAATGCTTTAACCACTAGGCTATAATGGTACCGCCCCCCACACAAACACAGCAATTAAACTAGGCATAATTTCATTTCGCACAGGCAGACATAGTTCACTCCCTTGAGGAGATCTTGCTCCCTTGAACTAAGATCTAAGAGACGATCAAATCGTGTGATTGTAACACCTTGGCAGAGACAGATATGACTGATTATGTTTAAGAGTGGGTCTTAAGCTGCTTTTAACAATATTCCAGCAATGTTATGGTGGGGGACACCACAAATAGGCTTTACACATTGTACCCATGAAGAGAATTGGCCCCTGTCCTGCGGTGTGACGAGTGAACGCTTTGACCATTAGGCTACCCCACCTCTCCAAATATTTACATAATCTAGTTAGAGTCGGATATATAATCAAAGTTTTCTGAGAGCTCGGCACAGTGTGGTCATAACAGTTGTCAACCATGTATTACTCAAAACCTATCACAAAACAACTGGTTGATATTGCCAGAATCAAAACATAATACAACTGAACTCCTCAAACCCTGGACCCAACCTCAAAATCTAACCCAAGGTTTAGCACCATTTGTGGTTATGTTTAACCAATCAGACTGGAGCATAGCTTTTAGAGCATCCATCTCATGGGGTTGCAATAAAACCAAGGGAGACAACTCCTAAGCCTTCTTACCTCTGGATGACATATCAATACCAAAGTCCAGGTCCTTGAACAGTGGCCTCTGTCCATCATAGCCAAATGTGACATCTGAAATACACAACAGCAGGCACTTAATATACAGTAGACACAATTGGCAAGACTTCACAGTCTACACCTGCTCCATCACTGTCTCACATACAGCGTGGTGCATTGTAGTTTGTTGTTTAACGCCGCACTCAGCAATATTCCAGCTTTATGGCAGCTGTCTGTAAATATTCGAGTCTGGACCAGACAATTCAGTGATCAACATCATGAGCATCGATCTACGCAATTGGGATACAATGACTTATGTCAACCAAGTCAGCGAGCCTGACTACCTGAATCTGTCAGTCGCCTCTTACGACAAGCAGGTTACTGAAAACCAATTCCTACTGGCTGCTGTTATCCAGTGTATACAGGTAACATCTACTAAGGCTTGATATACACTGCACAGGACAAGGGAGAAGTGCTGACATCTGTGAGATGTACACTGTGTATTGGAATCAGTTATTCAGAGACATAAAGTTTGATTAAGTTGAGTGCTTACAATTTTGGTATCTTACGACACTTCAAGGACGGATAACTCTAAATTTTGACATTATGACTGGAAGTTGACAGTTTAAACAAAGCCCATAGTATGCATGATGAAGCGATAATTTAGGTTTGTTTTGCGGAAAAAGGCAGGTAAAAGTCTGTATTGGCCAGGAAAGTTTCACCTAATGTTTCAAATCACTTTAATCTAGGACTTACGAATGTTATACTTGAGTTTCAACAAAGTTACATCTATTTCTTATGAATGTTTCATCAAATCACAACCAGGTTTCATCTGCTTGTTTGACCCAGGTTTCATGGAACATTGAACAAGTTCTGGATTAAACAATTGAGACTTTGAGTTGATTTTCCATGAATACAGAGGCTTAACCATACACCCACATCGCGAAACAATACACACAGAGTACCCATTGATCTCTGCGCTTGATAGCTACCCTTCTAAACTTGTCGTTAACTTGTTGTTAACTTGAATGGTTGGATAATACAGTGACTTCGTTGTATATTAGCTGTATGTATGTACATGGGCAATAACTACATACTAGCAGTGTTATTGTAACACTGTAAGGGATAGACCTTTAGAATATACTTTTCCCTGCGGGCATTCAGTGGAGGGGTTGAAATTAAGGGGTTCTGTGATATACTCACTGTGGGCACCCAGTATAGGAGGGCTGAGAGGAGTGGGTTTGGGGAAGGAGAACTTGACAATGTAATCGCGAGGTTTCTGCAACAACTCTGTGGGCTTCTCCTCCTCAGCGAACATCGTCTGTTTTACCTTGTTCTTCGCCTGCTTACGTGTATATGCTTCCTTCTGTTTCTCCTCCTACAATGCAACAGTGGTTCATACGGTGAATATAAACAGGAAGTGGGGTGTACGGTGAATAAAAACAGGAAGTGGGCTGTACAGGGTGAAAAAAAACAGGAAGTGGAGTGTACTGTGAATATAAACAGGAAGTGGAGTGTACTGTGAATATAAACAGGAAGCGGCCTGTACGTAAACAGGAAGTGGCCTGTACGGTGAATATAAAAAGGAATTGGGGTGTACAGTGACTATTAACAGGCAAGTGGGATGTGGAGTGAATATAAACAGGAAGTGGCTTATACGGTGAACTTAAACAGGAAGTGGCTTGTATGGTGAATATAAACAGGAAGTGGCCTGTATGGTGAATATAAACAGGACGTGGCCTGTATGGTGAATATAAACAGGAAGTTGAGTGTACGGTGAATAAAAACAGGAAGTGGGCTGTACAGGGTGAAAAAAAGCAGGAAGTGGAGTGTACTGTGAATATAAACAGGAAGTGGAGTGTACGGTGACTACAAACAGGCAAGTGGGATGACGAGTGAATATAAACAAGAAGTGGCCTATACGGTGAACTTAAACAGGAAGTGGCCTGTATGGTGAATATAAACAGGAATCGGCCTGTATGGTGAATATAAAAAGGAAGTGGCCTGTATGGTGAATATAAACAGGAAGTGGCCTGTATGGTGAATATAAACAGGAAGTGGCCTGTATGGTGACTATAAAGAGGACGTGGCCTGTATGGTGAATATAAACAGGAAGTTGAGTGTACGGTGAATAAAAACAGGAAGTGTGGTGTACAGTGAATATAAACAGGAAGTGGCCTGTATGGTGAATATAAACAGGAAGTGGAGTGTACGGTGAATAAAAACAGGAAGTGTGGTGTACAGTGAATATAAACAGGAAGTGGCCTGCATGGTGAATATAAACAGGAAGTTGATGTGTCGAACCGGTGAATAATAAAACAGGAAGTGTGGTGTACAGTGAATATAAACAGGAAGTGGTCTGTATGGTGAATATAAACAGGAAGTGGAGTGGAGTATAAACGGAAGTGGAATAAAAACAGGAAGTGTGGTGTACAGTGAATATAAACAGGAAGTGGCCTGTATGGTGAATATAAACAGGAAATTGAGTGTACGGTGAATAAAAACAGGAAGTGTGGTGTACTGTGAATATAAACAGGAAGTGGCCTGTATGGTGAATATAAACAGGAAGTGGAGTGTACTGTGAATATAAACAGGACTGACTGACTGAGTTTGGTTTTACGCCGCTTTTAGCAATACTCCAGCAACATCACAGGGCGGGGAACACCAGAAATGGGCTTCACACATTGTACCCATGTGGGGATTCGAACCCGGGTCCTCGGCGTCGAGCCAACGCTTTAACCACTAGGCTACCCCACCGCCCCGAATATAAACAGGAAGTGGAGCGTACTGTGAATATAAACAGAAGTGGCCTGTAAGGTGAATATTAGTGGTGCTCAGATAAATTAAAATAATCGAAGATTGGTCGCAGTGACCAAACGACCAAGCAATCGATCACATTTTGTCATAATCGAACACAAACAATTTTGGAACAACTGTTTTAGTCTTTGAAACCCTTCAAGATGGAACATATCTTCGAAGTTGTCAGGGACAGAAAACATGTTTAATTGTTAGAAAACTCACTTCACTAACTGAATATTAGAATATTTCTGACTGAAAAGACCCCAGGAAGTTTATGTTCATGATATGTTAGTCATCACTTTAAAGAAACACGTTGCATCATGTAATACATATCTGCAATAACAACCTGAATAGGATAATCTGAAAAATGATGCTAACTGATTTTTTTCGATCAATTATGAGATTTTAACCAATTCCCAACACTAGTGAATATAAACAGGAAGTGGGGTGTGGAGTGACTATAAACAGGCAAGTGGGATCTGGAGTGAATATAAACAGGAAGTGGCCTGTATGGTGAACATAAACAGGAAGTGGCCTGTATGGTGAATATAAACAGGAAGTGGCCTGTATGGTGATTATAAACAGGAAGTGGCCTGTATGGTGAATATAAACAGGAAGTGGCCTGTATGGTGAATATAAACAGGAAGTGGTCTGTATGGTGAATATAAACAGGAAGTGGCCTGTATGGTGATTATAAACAGGAAGTGGCCTGTATGGTGATTATAAACAGGACGTGGCCTGTATGGTGATTATAAACAGGAAGTAGCCTGTATGGTGAATATAAACAGGAAGTGGTCTGTATGGTGAATATAAACAGGAAGTGGTCTGTATGGTGAATATAAACAGGAAGTGGCCTGTATGGTGATTATAAACAGGAAGTGGCCTGTATGGTGATACAAACAGGCAAGTATAAACAGGGAAGTGGCCTGTATGGTGATTATAAACAGGAAGTAGCCTGTATGGTGAATATAAACAGGAAGTGGTCTGTATGGTGAATATAAACAGGAAGTGGCCTGCATGGTGAATATAAACAGGAAGTGGGGTGTACGGTGACTACAAACAGGCAAGTGGGATGTGGAGTGAATATAAACAGGAAGTGATCAATACGGTGAACATAAACAGGAAGTGGCCTGTATGGTGAATATAAACAGGAAGTGGCCTGTATGGTGATTATAAACAGGAAGTGGCCTGTATGGTGAATATAAACAGGACGTGGCCTGTATGGTGAATATAAACAGGAAGTGGTCTGTATGGTGAATATAAACAGGAAGTGGGGTGTACAGTGAATATAAACAGGAAGTGGCCTGTATGGTGAATATAAACAGGATGAATATGTGAGTGGCCTGTATGGTGATTATAAACAGGAAGTGGCCTGTATGGTGAATATAAACAGGAAGTGGCCTGTATGGTGAATATAAACAGGAAGTGGTCTGTATGGTGAATATAAACAGGAGGTGGGGTGTACAGTGAATATAAACAGAAAGTAGGGTGTATGGTGCATATAAACAGGAAGTGGTCTGTAAGGAGAAAATAAATAGGTAGTGGAGTGTACAGGGAATATAAACAGGCAGTGGTGTGTACGGTGAATATAAACGGGAAGTGGGTTTTAAGGTGAATATAAACAGGAAGTGGAGTGTACGGTGAATATAAACGGGCAGTGGGATGTACGGTGAATATAAACGGGCAGTGGGATGTACGGTGAATATAAACAGGCAGTGGGGTGTATGGTGAATATAAACAGGAAGTGATGTGTACAGTGAATATGAACAGGAAGTGGAGTGTACGGTGAATATAAAAAGGAAGTGAAATGTACAGTGAATATAACAGTCAGTGGGGTGTACGGTGAATATGAACAGGCAGATGGGTGCAAGGTGAATATAAACAGGCACTGGGATTAAGAGTGAACATAAACAGGAAGTGGGGTGTGTGAGAATATACACAGGAAGTGGAGTGTATGGTGAATATAAACACAGAGGCAGTAGTATATATGAAGAAGATATACCAATCCACAGAGTGGGTGTAGCATCAATAAAACACAGAGGCCAGGTAGCCAGTGTCCCTTGTCTTCAATCTAGTTACGTACCGCCTTCTTTTTGGACTGTCCTGAAGCCTTCAGCTCCTTAATCCTCTTTTCCTGCTTCTCATAATCCTTAATCTGCTCTTTCCGTTTTTGCACAAACATCTTCTTAAAGGCGCCAAAGTTGCCACGGTAATAGAAGAGCTTCTGCATGTCTAAGTGAATGATGTCAGTGCACACGTTGTTAAGGAAACTCTGGTCGTGAGACACAACAAGCAAAGTCTTCTTCCATGTCTGCAGGTAGCTGTGATATGTAAAGGGAGATATTAATATAATCAGTATGAAGAGTGACAAATCGCAATTTTTTTATAAATGAACAGATGTGGTGAAAATGGATTTCAGATCACATTCTGTTAAAATTTAGTCACTCAAATACAAATGTGCTTGCATGTGTGCGTTGCTGCCTGTACTAGCCTAGACTAATGCTCGTTTTAGAGTGAGTGAGTGAGAGAGGTGTTATGCCGCCTTTAGCAATAATCCAGCAATATCATGGCAGGGGACACCAGGAATGGGCTTCACACATTGTACCCATGTCAGGAATTGAAACTAGGCCTTCGGTGTGACGAGCAAATACTTCAACCACTAGGCAACCCCACTGCCATTTTGCTACTGTGTATAAAAACAATTACAGCTGCCAAGGACGTATACGTCCTCATAGTTGAAATGAGAGAGCATGTATTTATGTAGCTTTTAGCAATATTCTCACAAAAATGGACTTCACACATTGTACCCATGTGGGGAATCAAACCCAGGTCTTCGGTGTGACGAGCAAACACTTTTCCCCTGTAGTTGCAACACACACCTGAAAATCATCAGGACTGACTGACTGAGTTTGGTTTTACGCCGCTTTTAGCAATATTCCAGCAACATCACGGCGGGGAACACCAGAAATGGGCTTCACAAATTGTACCCATGTGGGGATTCGAACCCGGGTCTTCGGCGTGACGAGCCAACGCTTTAACCACTAGGCTACCCCACGGCCCCGAAAATCATCAGGACCATCACTTACTTGTCCAACCAGATGACAGCATTCAGGTCCAGATGGTTGGTGGGTTCATCCAACATCAGCAACGTAGGCTCCAAAAACAAGGCCCTGAATCAACACAAATGTCACAGTCTACTCAATCAAAAGTTTGCCATCTCTGTAGTACTATGAGTGAGTGAATGAGTTGGGTTTTATGCCGCTTTTGGCAATATTCCAGCAATATCACGGCGGAGTACACCAGAAATGGGCTTCACAGATTGTACCCATGTGGGAAATCGAATCCGGCTTTCGGCGTGGCGGGCAAATGTTTTAACCACTAGGCTACCTCATCACCCCCTGTAGTACTATGAAAATGTATATTTGTTTAATGCCCTACTCAGTCACACATCAACAGTAGCCTGAAATTCATCCAGTCTGGACCAAAAAATCCAGTGATAGATAGTGTCAGCATGTCCCAAGGCCTGACCACTTGATCAAAGAGTGAGGGGATGGGTGGGTGACTTGGGTTTTCTTAAAGCTTTTTGCCAAGTGCAGTCCATCTGGGCAATATTCAGGCTGCTTGTTCTGCTTCTATGACATTACAGGAACTTTTGTACAGTTTTTCCAGTAACATGTACAGTACATCCCCAAGGAAACTTTAATGGAAGCCAGGTCTTATCATGTTTGCTGGCAAGCTGCAAATTACCATTTTTTAAAGAAGAAATACTATTAAGAAGAATTTCCATGACAAAGAAGAATAAGACCATACTGTTGAATGTGAAACAGGAGCACAACATTTTTGTTGTTCCACTTCTGTGAGCCTGTACTTACCTGGCAAGAGACACTCTCATCCTCCAGCCTCCTGACAGATCTTTGGTGGACCTCTCCATCATATTTTTCGTAAAGCCGAGACCAGCCAGGATCCTCCTCGCCTTTGACTCGGCTGCATCAGCACCGATAGCACGCAGCTCCTCATACACCTGGACAGACGAAACAAGATGAGTTGCTTCATAGACTGTAAGTTACATATTCAACTCCTAATCATTGAAACCCGTGAAGATCCAGGTTAGAATTGATCTTCAGTAACCCATGAATGTAGGAAGGGGCGACTAATGGGTTCAGATGGTCAGACTCACTGATTAGGTTGACACGTCATTGTATCCCAATTACGTAGATCGATACTCCTGCGGTTGATCACTGGATCGTCTGTCCAGACTCGATTATTTACAGACCGCCGCCATATAGCTGGCATATTGCTAAGTGCGGCGTAAAATTAAACTCACTCACTCACCTAATCATTGAGATTGTTTTCTTTGGGAAGAGACCCATCTCCTTTAGTCAGAGTATTATGCTGGACAAGGAAATGTCATTGTGGCTTTACAGCTTCTTTACTACAAGTCATGGGAGGTGGGGTTGCCTAGTGGTTAAAGCATTTGCTCGTCAAGCCATGCTGGAATACTGCTAAAAGCGGCATAAAACCCAATTCACTCACTCACTATTTAAAACAATTCAGGCAATATTTTGGTGTAGATACCGATAGCTTCATGTAGCAGTGATGAAATATAGCTTTAATTGTAATGAACTGACTGACTGAGTTTAGTTTTACGCCGCTTTTAGCAATATTCCAGAAATATCACGGCGGGGGACACCAGAAATGGGCTTCACACATTGTGCCCATGTGGGGAATTGAACCCGGGTCTTCGCTGTGAGGAGCCAACGCTATAACCACTAGGCTACCCCATCGCCCCTAATTGTAATGAAGTGGTTGTTTATCTATAACAAACTTTATCTAGGCTATCCCACCATCCGAATTATTCCCCAACCTTCTGATGAGTGAGTGTTGTTTTATGCCACTTCCAGCAATATTAAATTCAGGGGTCACCAGAACTTGGCCTAACACATGTGGGGAACACAAACCCGGCCTTTAGGTTGAAGAGGAACAGCTTTAACAAGGCTACCCCATATCCCCTCCTATATGATGAGTGAGTGAGTGAGTTTGGTTTTACGCCACTTTTAGCAATGTTCCAGCCATATCACAGTGGGGGACACCAGAAATGGGCTTCACGGATTGTACCCATGTTGGAATTGAACCCGGGATTTTGGCGTGACGAGCGAACGTTTTAACCACTAGGCTACCCCGCCGCCACCCGATATCGTGATGACCTACCTGTTTGAGCCTCTCACTGTTGTTAGTGTTGCCCGCTTCCGACTCTTGCATCAGCTTCTTCTCTTCCTCCAGGAGAGCTACACGCTTCTTGTCTGCCATCAGCACCACGTTGATGGCCTTCTCCTCGCTTGCCTGCACCTCTATACACACAAGTAAGCCACATGTAAGTCGTGCATTGGTCACACATATTAGTCACACAATAGCCAAGTTTTGTGTCGTCTAACAGTCATTTTAACCAAGTTTTGTTTGTTGAGAGTTTTTATAATAACAGGGCTCCAGATAAGGGCCGTATCGGTGATGTACGGATAAAAAATATGCACGATACGGTAGGAAATAATTTGGAAAACGTAGCAGATATGCACCACGACGATGGTCCTAGAATCATTTACAGACATAAGTATCTGAAAAGGTATTGTTTTATTGTTTATTGACCTGTTTACACAAGACTAGCAACGTTGTGGTGCATATATGACACGAAACACAAGGTTACTGATATGCCATTAAATTCCATTCAGTACTCTTAAGATTTTCCAGTACTCCTATATTGAAAAACTAAGGAGTACGTACTCCTGATATTGAAAAATTATCTGGAGCCCTGTAATAATGTCAAATATGTGGTCCCAAAACAGGCTTCAAAGGGGCAAAAAGTAGATGAGGCTGAGGAGGATCACACGAACAATGGACCAATGATCATGGGCATCAATAAGTCTGACGGCTTGACTGACTGACTGAGTTTGGTTTTACGCCGCTTTTAGCAATATTCCAGCAACATCACGGCGGGGGACACCAGAAATGGGCTTCACACATTGTACCCATGTGGGGATTCGAACCCAGGTCTTCGGCGTGACGAGCCAACGCTTTAACCACTAGGCTACCCCACCGCCCCGTGACGGCTTGACAGATTAAATTATAATGTACGACAAGAGTAGGTTGCAGGGGACCGATTCTTACTCGCAAAACACACAATTTATAGATAATCACAAGGGGTATTTACCTTGTTCGCAGTACAGCACATCGATGTTGGGGGGAATGTTCAGTGTTCTGCTCTGGATGTGTTTCAACAGCGTAGTCTTGCCATGCCTGTGGAGTAATCACACCCAGTCATTAGTTATGCATGACAAAAAAAGTTGATTTAAATGCGTTTAGGTTATGCATAACTTTGAACAGTATTTCACAGCAAGTCACGTGGGTGAAAAACCCTTGAACTGATAAAAACTTGTCCAGCAAGACGCAAACAACCAAATGTCATTAATGAATGAGCGAGTGAGTTATTTTGTCACTTTTAGCAATATTCCAGCATTATCGTTGCAGGGAACACCAGAAATGGGCTTCACATATTGTACCCATGTGAGGAATCGAACCCAGGTTTTCGGTGTGACTGGCAAACGCTTCAACCACCCCAACATTCCCCAAATATCATGAAAAAATATTTGCATTTGAGGTAAACATAATCAAATAACTTCTTAGTTAATTAATCGTATCAGAAAAAGTGAGTGAGTTGAGATTAATGATTTTGTCACTTTCACCTCTAGTTTAGTTATATCACGACATACCAGCTTAACATGGGAAGAAATCACAAAGTGATGAAGGGTCAACTTGCAGAACGCAGTTTTAATCCTAGAAAAAGGTGTAACTCCAATACTTTAACATACAGTTGTGATAGTCATGGCGATAAGATCACCTCATGCAAGAGGTGGTGTGGTAGCCTATGATATTGCTGGAATATTGCTAAAAGCGGCGTAAAACTATATTCTTTTACTCACTCTATGCAAGTGGTCCCTTGAGCACAGGTATTGTGCTGATAAACCTAGAAACGATCAAACAAATGCAGGACATTGCCCACTGTGGGATACAGCAGGATACTGGCATACCCTTTAGACACAACTCAAAGATGAAATTCTGGTTGCAATATGAAAAGGGAAGACAAGAAGATACCCACCCATTAGGTCCAACAAGACCATATCGTCTCTGGTTTGTAATCTGAAGTGTAGCACCAACAAACAGATCCTTCCCTCGTGCCGATATTGAGAAGTTCTCCACCTGATAGCATAAAACAATATTTTACAGACTCGGTTTCAATCATAAGAGCATGTTTAAAATTAAAAGTAGATTGCGCCAAATTTCATTTTGGAAACCAGTCACAAATGTACTTCAGACAATTAAAACCGCTGAACATTATCATGACTATGACCAATATTAACAAAAAGATTTTTAAATAATCTTTTTACTTTTCCATTCACATATATTCTTCTGGTTCCAAAGGAAACACTTAAACATCATCATTAGCGTTTTATTGCACAGAGGTCAGGTCACTTCATTTTTATACCTGTAACAATTGTCAGAACGACAGACTTATATGTCTATAGCAATGCCCTAAATGCCTTGTCTAATAGGCCATAGATGAAGCTTCAGATCATATCTACTACTATCATGGCTTTGAGTTCATTCAAAAACAGTCAGGTCAAGTCTATATCAGAATAACAAGAAGACTAAGTCATCAATATCCCCTGCAATGGCAAAATACTCTTCATGATTATGTCTACGAGTTATGATTATGTCAAATGTTTTGGTGTGTATATAGAAAAGTGGAAGGAGAGTATTGAAAGGTTTTAAAAGTTCTGCTCCAGAAGGAGCACTACCACCAGTTTCAGTCTCTGTCAAACTTGTTGCCATGGAAATGCCAAAATATTTTATTCAGGAATCTAAACTACCAATGGGCACCAGTACACCACCAGACCAAACTATGTGCCAAGTTTGGTGAAGAAACATTGAACGGTTTTAGAGTTCTGCTCCGGAAAAAAGCGCTACCACCAATTTCAGTCTAAGTCAAACTTGTTGCCATGGAAACGCCAAAAATATTTAATTCAGAATACCAAAACTACCAAAAGGCACCAGTACACCACCAGATCTATCCATGTGCCAAGTTTGGTGAAGAAACATCGAACAGTTTTAAAGTTCTGCTCCCGGAAAAGACAAATGTGCAGACGCCCGCACGCACGGACGGAGTCCATTTAAATACCCCCCGGCTAACGCTTTGCGGGGGATAATCAATTGTAGCACTTAAGTGAGTGAGTGAGTTTAGTTTTACGCCACAGTCAGCAATAATCAAGCTATATGGCGGCGGTCTGTACATAATCGAGTCTGGACCAGACAATCCAGTGATCAACATCATGAGCATCGACCTACGCAATTGGGAACCGATGACATGTGTCAACCAATTCAGAGTGCCTGACCACCTGATCCCGTTAATCGCCTCTTACAACAAACATGGGTTTCTGAAGATCAATATTCTAACCCGGATCTTCAAGGGTTGTAGCACTTAAGATACTGTTTATAAACGTTCTCTACTTTCTTTGGGTACAATGTGTTAAGCCCATTTCTGGTGTCCCCCGCCGTGATATTGCTGGAATATTGCTAAAAGCGGCGTAAAACTAAACTCACTCACTCACTCACTCTACTTTCTTAAATAGATGTACATCAGAAATTAATGTTTGTTGTTTGAACATCACACATAGCAATATTTCAGCTATATGCCTGTAAATAATCTAGTTTGGACAGACAATCCATTGATCATTATCATGAGGTGAGGTGAGGTGAAATTGCGTTTAACGTCGTGCTTGAGAATATTTCGCTCATATGACGACGTGCATGCGTCTGTGTATGTGTATGTGCGGCTGCTTGTACTAGTCCAGACTTAAGCTGGTTTTATAGTGCTAGCCAACTGAGATACCATGCCACAGTGAAGCATGAATACCCCACTCAGACACATTATACTGACTCCAAGCCGACCAGTCCTTGTTGTACCCATTAATGCCGAGCGCCAGGCAGGGACCAACAAGTACCATATTTTAACGTCTTTTGGTATGACGCGGTCGGGGGTCGAACCCGCGACCTTCCGCTCTCCGGGCGGACGCTCTAACCACTACACCACGGAGGCGGTCGATCGATATCCTGAACAACCACCACCACCATATTGGTACGGTGACATGCCCTCAACCAAGTCACCGGGCACATCTTCCCATTAAATGTAGTAACCGCATACAACCAACATGGGTTGATGAGACTTTTCCTAAATCCAAAATTCCCATAGATTAAAATTCAGCAATGTCAATGTGGCAAATTACTGTTGTACTAAGAGCGATATGAGCATCTGCCAGCTACGAACATGTGTACCTTGATGTCTTGTTGGTTCTCCAGCACCGCTGCCTTGGAGGACTTCTCGGCCTGGGACACAGAGAACTGCCCCTGTTCTCCCATCATCTCCAGCTGCTGTTTATACTCCGCCTACAACACGGATCAATGAGCTGGGATTTTAATGTGATCATGCTGGGACATATATGTTTCATACCTTGTGGGGAATGAAACCCGAGTTTCTGGATGAGTGAATACTCTTACTACTGAGCTACACCACTGCCCCGATGACACAAGATGATAGAACTGGGCTTTATAACATGATCACTAGATGGGACACAATTAATGGTCTTCACACACCCATATAGGGAAACAAACCCAGGCCTTAGGTGTGATGATTGAACACTTTCCCCACTACAGCCCCCAACTGCCATTACACCACATAGGCAACTGTTTCCCTTGGCACAAAGCCAACAACAGTGATACTGTTGTATTAGGTGAGTGAGTGAGTCTAATTTTAAGCCGCTTTTAGCAATATTCAAGCAATATCATGGCGGGGGCACCAGAAATGGGCTTCACACACTGTACTCATGTGTGTTGTATTAAGCTCCCTGCTTCTAGAACAGTCTCCTGACCCAGTACTAGTGCTATTACTTTTTGAAACGTATTTACATAAAATAACAGGTCAGTAAAGCTATGTAATAGCTGAGTGACTTATGAAAAATGTCAGTTTCATCTTTCTATAATGGAACAAAATTGTTAAAAATAGCTTGATCTTGGAAAAACAAATTTTACTATTGCATGGTTTTAACAAACACTCCATTGTCAATTTCCTACTTCACCAGTGTGGGTACCATTGCAAATACTGTTTATTCTTCCTCCCAATAGAAACCCATTACGCTGTTTATTCTTCCTTCCAATAGAAACCCATTACGTTGTTTATTCCTCCTCCAAATAGCAACACATTACGTTGTTTATTCCTCCTCCCAATAGAAACCCATTACGATCTCTTGGTAGGATCACTGTGCACAAAGGCTCTACCGATTTACAAAAGGCATTCTGTATTTCAAAAGGATAACTACCGGAAAATGCAAACACTGAACCTGGATTTCCAAACAACTCACTTCCTGACCCTATTTTTCAAATACAAGACAATTGGGAAATTTATTTTGAAAGGGTCTCTAAGAACTTCCCTTCTGGTCGAGAATGGCTCTGAACCATGTTAACAATGACACAACAAGTGTTACGTTTATTTGTGTCTTATTTCATCCTGTCAGTGCAGAGTATTATAACTTTACAGCCCGCATGACAAATCATGGCTTCCTTCACAATCAAATACAAGAAAATACAATAAATACCTGTTTCTTTAACTTCTTTAATTCCTTCTTGCTAAGCTTAGGTTTTATTTCTTCTGCTACTTCTGTCAAAAACAAGAAATCATTATAAAAAACATGTAATGTTTCAAGTAAAATTGATATTTTATACTTATCCTGACTCATGCTTATTTGCTTCCTCTTTCTTCTATGCGAATGGTAGAGGAACACTTGAATCCCTTGTAGTTCCCTTGAAGAAGACGTAAAAACTCTCTTGCCCACGAGTTGCCCCCTTTTCCCTCCAAAACAGTCATGTGACCTGCCATGCTTGTCACTCTCTCCTGAAAGCCCATGCACCTGGGTTTGCTGGGAAACCCAAAGTGTCTTCTGCGGGGAGGTTGGGAGGGTTTGACATCATGAGTCAGGATAAATATAAAATATCAATTTTGCTTTAAAATTACATATATTTCCTTATCCTGACTCATGCTTATTTGCTTCTAGAACTGGGCGGAATCGGGTGGTGGGGTCAGGCCTACTTTGTGGATTATCAGCTGTCCTTAGATCTCGTATGTATGCCACCACCCCACCCCCCATGGAACTCTTGTAATGGCACCTTTCTGGATCCTGTTCTTCCAACTTCCGCTGTCAACTCGGGGGACCACATCTTGTCAAGACAAGTTGGTATATGACCAGATGGTGGCCACATGAATACATGCAAAACTTAAGCTAGTTGTGGGTACATAAAGCTGTAACATGCAGTGAACTTTTTAGAGTTTTGACCAATATACCTATATGATACATAGTGATAGTGTCCCAGTCCACCCAGCTGTGAATGGGTAAGATATTAGCGAATAAGCTTAAGCTACCTCATAAGGATATATTTTAATAATATGAGCATAGCAATTAAGTGCTTACGTATAATTAGCTTAAGTTACCTATATAATAGTAAAACCCCAGAGAGTTTGTTAGCAATTAACTTAAGCTATGTATATAAAATAGCCAAAACCTTTTAGAGTTTGCTTACTAATGCATTTTATCATGTAACCATAGTGCATTACTCTTAAGATATGAATAACTTAAGGTAATATATATAATAACAAACTCTTGGTAGAGTTGTTAACTTATATATTGTGCCTTATGGATCTTTAAGTAAAATTTTTGGCATATAGCATGGAGGACTGGATCAATTGGTGTATACCCAGACGCCCCTCGGTGCTCTCTGTGATAATGGTTTGCAACCACCATATCGGATTTCCAGAAAATAAACCCCTCCATTATTTCAATTTTGTGTAGAAATAACTGTGGTAGCTGAAATAAAAATATCAATTTTACTTGAGAAAACCGCAATAACTCGATTGCCTTAGTGGCTGCAAGAGTTGTATGCTCACCGGAGAGTTGAGATTGATAATACGATGTGCCGTTGAGATTGACATCCAGTGATCCAGGGGAAAAAATGTCAGCGCCTTGAGCATGTATTAGATACATGGATATGTGCACTATATAAATATCCTACCCTACCCCTACCCCCTACAAGTGAATCTCATAAATTCATGTGGATTTTAGATATACTAGTATATACTAGTTATCTATAAACAACCCATAGATTATGATAAGATCTTTACCATAAATGAGTTGCGACCCCTTAGCGTACAGGTAAGATCATTACCCGTACAGAGCCTTAATCACTCATGCTTGTCTGGTTTAGACAGCGCGCATGGACTCTCAAGTGAGGGTTATCAACAAGTCAACTTGATAAAGGGTGAGATTTCCAACTCAGCGCCTTTGTGGAACCGTAGTTGTTGTGCTACAACAAGTGGCCCAAACTGGTGAATGCCGGAGATGTTCGTACAAGTTGCGAGTTGATCTGCGTAGAGCTAGGAATACTGCTTTCGCTGCTCTGGCGGAGTATTTCTTTTCTTCAAACAAATCTTGACACGATCCAAACGTGTAGCTGGAACGTAAGCAGGTTTCCCGTGAGCTTGCTTGGTGTGCTGATGTACGAGCAGGTTTGGCCACTCTGGTAGTTTCAGGGTTGGACTTCCGAGTTCTTATATTAGATCTGGGAACCACACTCTCGCTGGCCAGTAGGGTGCGACCAAAGTCAGTTGTAGCATTGGGTCTTCTAGATCTTCAATAGTACTTGAGGTAGTAGAACTGGAGGCGGAAACGCGTATGCATTTAGTCCTTCCCATGACAAGCTCAGTGCGTCTGTTGCCCAGGCTCGAGGATCTGGTACTGGTGAGATGAATGTCTGTAGTTGTTTGTTGAACCTTGTGGTGAACAGGTCTATGCAGGGAGATCCTATTTTCATTATGATGAGCCGGAACACCTCTGGGTGGAGCATCCATTCCGTGGGTGAAATGTATGAAGAGTGCAAGATAGAGCGTCTGCTAGAATGTTGATCGCAGCTTTTATCTCCAACTGGTTGATGTGAAGATGTTGTTCTTGTTTCGACCACTTCCCTGATGCCACTTTGTTGTCGAGATGCGCTCCCCATCCTTGTAGTAAGGCATCTACGTAGAGGTGTGTGTAGAAGAGCGGCTCTTCTAAATAGGTCCCTCCACAGACATTCGACTTGAGTCCACCATAACAGGTATGTCTTGAGACTATCTGGTAGAGAGATCAGGTTACAGCTGTCCAGGTGTCTTGCCAGGAATCGCTGCAGCGGACGTAATTGTAGTCTTCCTCTGCGAGTCAAAACCTGCACTGAGGTGAGTAGACCGAGGAGACACTGCCATGTTCGTAGTGGTGACGGAGAGATGACTGCTTCTGGAATCATGGCTTGATCTTGACCCAACGATCTTCTGGGACCACAATACGATTCTGTGTTGTGATGAACCTTATTCCCAGGAACTGAAGATCTTGCTTTGGTTCCAACTCTGATTTCATCAAGTTTACTAGCCATCCCAGTTGTGCGAGCAGTTTGATGGTGAAGTCTAGCTGCCGTCAGAGTTGATTGGCTTCTTGATGAATTTGTATCCCGTCGTCCAGGTAGAAGGCACTGCGTAGACCTCAACGATGTAATTAGGTGACGATGAACTTTGTCACTCGTGTAAATAACCACAGGGCCGACGATATTCCAAATGGCAGGACGCTCCACTGGAAGTGTCAACCTCTGAACAGGAATCTGAGGTCTATGCTGGCCAAGTAATCTGAGTTGAGGCAGGTGGATCATCTTCATGTTGTATATCAACCTGAACTTCTCCTTGGAGTTCTTCTTGGGTACCAGGAAAATTGGGGAGTAGAAACCGGGCGTCAGATGATGTTGATCTATCACTTCTACGATGTTCTTGGCCAATAGCGAGTTGATGGCTTCTTCAAGCTTTTCTGCCTGGTCATCTGCGTAGTTGAAGACTAACAGGTCGAGGGTCAGCAGTGGTGTGGCCTTCAGCTGCACTCTGAAGCCTTCTTGCAGTACTTGTGAGACGTAGTCGTCCTCCAATATTCCCCAATTTTCCCAGTACCTTTGTAGACGTCCACCCACTGTCAACGGTTGTGGAAGTATCCTGTCATTCAATCTCCATCTTCTGCTGTACCTCGGTGACATTTGACGGATGACGTTGGTCAACGTGTCAATGGACTTGATCATCATGACTTCTCTGGAATCATGTGTGACTTCCTTGGCAACTATGTCTATCTCCCCGCCAAAGATAATAGGCACCGCCCAAGGAGCTCTCGTAGAGGTTAGGTGAACCTGTCACTCAAGGAACATGTCGATAGTAGACCTTGTCTTCGTAGTGATCAGGTGATCAGACATGAGTGAGTGAGTGAGTTTAGTTTTACGCCGCACTAAGTAATATTCCAGCTATATGGCGGCGGTCTGTAAATAATCGAGTCTGGACCAGACAATCCAGTGATCAACAGCATAAGCATCGTACTGCGCAATTGGGAAACGATGACATGTGTCAACCAAGTCAGCGAGCCTGACCACCCAATCCCGTTAATCGCCTCTTACGACAAGCATAGTGGCCTTTTGTGGCAAGCATGGGTTGCTGAAGACATATTCTACCCCGCGATCAGACATGAAGTGCTGGTCCTTCTTCTGAGTTAACAGTGCTGATAGGATCATTCTATCCTCTTCAGTCTTGGGGTTCTGGAATATGGATATCAACACCTTGTTGGTCGCTCTAGATCTCGCCAGGCTGAAGGTTCTTCTAGTCATGGTGTCGAGTTGAGAATCTTCTTGTTACGTTCCACCTTATAAGACTTCAATCGTTGATCAACTTCAAGTTGTCATCCAGGTCCGGCGCTCTCATGAAGGGGTCCATGTGATGCAGAGGGAACTTCTTAGAGTTGAACGTTGGTACATGTTGATTCTGGTACCGGGTTGCTTTCTCAAACGCTGTACGGGGGTTTGCAGACACCTTGGAGATCGGTTCAATCGGTGGAATCGTGAGGGTGTCGAAGTCATCCTCCAGCATCTTGTATGTGAACGCTGCATTCGATTCCTTGGAGGGGGACACCAAGTCCAAGCTGTTTGCAATCCAAGATGTGACCTCTGCTTCCGAGAAGACGTAGTCGCCCTCTTCCTCTGCATATATTCCCTCAGACAGTTCCAAGTCCGCCAAACTGTACATTCGCGAACCTTCCTTTCGCGAACCTATGAGGTAGCGGTCGCAAACGCTAGTGTATTGACCATAATATGCTGATGATATTTATCAGTTGATAATCTCGGAGGGTCGCGAACCCTGTAGATGTCTGCATTGCTGATATCTGCTGCGTTGCTGATATCTGCCTGTTGATCTAAGGGTTCTCCGAACCCTGTAGATGTCTGTGTTGCTGATATCTGCCTGTTGATCTGAGGGTTCTCCGAACCCTGTAAGTGTCTGCGTTGCTGATATCTGCCTGTTGATCTGAGGGTTCCCCGAACCCTGTAAGTGTCTGCGTTGCTGATATCTGCCTGTTGATCTAAGGGTTCCCCGAACCCTGTAGGTGTTTGCGTTGCTGGTATCTGCCTGTTGATCTGAGGGGTTTGGGCTAAATATATCCAAAAACCATACACAGCTTAATTTGGATAAAGGATCTAAATAGTAAAGGATATGGTGCCGTATACGGGATTCCAGTGCTCGCCCAACCATCCGCTTGGGGCGATGAAGGAGAGAGTGACAAGCATGGCAGGTCACATGACTGTTTTGGAGGGAAAAGGAGGCAACTTGTGGGTGAGAGAACTTTTACGTCCTCTTCAAGGGAACTACAAAGGTATTCAAGTGTTCCACTACCATTCGCATAGAAGAAGGAGGAAGCAAATAAGCATGAGTCAGGATAAGGAAAAATCTACAACTGTATAGATGCATATCAAACAATACTAAATACAAAATCACCCAAAAATTTATCCTGGATTTCTGATGGACTGTCAGATTAAGAACAAAAGAATTGTGTTAAAAATTGGGATTTTCTTGATGGTCCTTATTTTCCTTCATTATTATGTCAAATCGAAACATTTTATTCCAGGCAAAACAATAAAACTGAAGATAGAAGCATTCAAGTCTGTCTCATTATCAGGAAAATGAAATCACCTCTGCAAGGCAATAACATTAGTTACTATCATAATAACATCACTTGGCAAACTCATATCCAATTCCAATTCGGTAATTTTACTATCATTTTTTTAGATTGGAACCTAATATCAGCCTTGTGGGAGGTCTAGATAAATCCTTGCTATTGATACAGATTCAACAACAAATTAGGTCCAAATGTCCATAACTCACACCTCACTTTTGAGGATGTATATCACAAGAGCTTCCATAAGTTTGTGAGATTGTATTCTTTCTTATTCTGCAGGAACATCAACCATTATAGCTGTAAATTATTCCTGTTGGGCCGATAGCAAAATACCACAGCCAATTTCAAAAGCCACATGATGATTCAACTTTTTTCATCAACATTTCACGATCCTTACCTTGTTCAGCCTCTGCAGCAGCTCCACAAGCATCTCTGTCAACTTCCCCATCATCGTCATCATCAGAGCTGTACTGTTTTACAGGCTTTTTCTTGGGTTTGTCTTTGGGTTTCTCCACAACTGGCTCTGGCTCTGGTTCTTCCTCCGGAGGATCTTCCTCTGTCTGCTGCATCTCCTCCTTCAGCAGATCCATCTTACTTTTCTTCGCCTTCTTCTTCTTTTTTGTCTTCTCCTCTTCCTGTGACCATAGTAACAGTAGAGATAAGATTATTCCAATACTTAAATCTCAAATCAAGATCATGATGATCTATGCCAACATGGACTTCTATCACCATGGTTACACGGAATTCATGCTAGGCGGACTTAAGACCAATATCCCCATAGGTAATCATGAAGTTAGCGAGCAAGTACGGTATTATGCCGCCTTTAGCAATATTCCAGCAACATCACAGCGGGGAACACCAAAAATGGGCTTCACACATTGTACCCGTGTAGGAAATCGAACCCGGGCCATCGGCGTGACATGCGAACGCTTTAACCACTAGCTAGGCTACCCCACCACCCCATGATTGTGAAGAATTTAAGGCTAGAATGCACTTTACCGGGCGCAGCCCTCGCTGCTCCCTTTACGATCCTTAGGGTTAGGGTTTAGGGTTAGGGTATGCCACCCTTTACGATCCTTAGGGTTAGGGTTTAGGGTTAGGGTATGCCACCCTTTACGATCTTTAGGGTTAGGCACCCTTTACGATCCTTAGGGTTAGGGGTTAGGGTTAGGGAGGGAACCCCAGCAACGCTAATCAATCTGAAAAAGTGCGCCCGGTAAAGTGCAGTACTCCCGAATTTAAAAGTGTCACACTACAACCTTGGGCTAAAGAAATCTGTATTATATGTAAATGGGACCAGGACAGACCAGGATATCATGAGCAATTTTGTTGACAGCTGTGCCCCCAGATGTATCGTCAACATGTTCAATGAATATTTTTCTAATGTAATCAGTAAACATCCAAATACAGACTTTAAAAACATACACAAATTATATTACGAGCAAACTTCTCTTGATTTCAGAACAATAATATATTTAATTTTTTTTAGTATGAGAATATTGTTGAACTTTTCCTGCCCTTCAGCTTTGGAGCTTTTGGGGGAAAAAGAAGATATTTCATCAATCGGTTCATATTACATGAAAGATTCATTTACAATACAAAGACAGACAGTGATCAATAACCACGATTACATGAAATATTACGACATACAGTTACTCCGACATCAAAAGCCTACGCCGTGACAACATCTGGAACATACCTTAGGATCATCGTCTTCGACTGTCAAAGATTTCATTTTGTCATCTAAATTTGGTTCTTCATCTGGCCAGTCGTCGTCTTTAGACTTTTTCCCTTTGTTTTTCTTCGGCATTCTGTCTGTAAAATGTCTGGTCGTTTATCTTCTGGTTACAGCGATAAAAAATTATGGCCGGGATTTCACAACTGTACCGACACTCTTTCATGTGTCTCCCATGTGCTTTTGAAATCGAGGTTTGCCGGAAAGAATATAAGAGTTATCTCCCGTTAATGAAATTAAAAGAATTCCTAATCGCAGACTGGATTTCGCACTGCATTCGCGCGTCAAACATTTTTCATTTCATATATATTGTTTTGCACATTAGAGAAATGAAACGGCTATTAATAAAAATAACAACTAAAAAGAATCAAAATGAGCCCGGTGAGCGACCATCAGTGAAAACGGCCACGCGCCCAAAAGTACCAAAGATCTGTCTCAAAACGGCGCAAATTAATTTACTGGCCAAAACAATCGCCGAACACATTGAGATAGTTATATTCGAGTTGTATAATCAGGCATTGCGAATTATCTTTCCGGAATGTATTGATTTTGTAAGTGCCCAGCGTTTGGAAATTCATGTTAGGTAAAACGTACAATTCTTTTCTGTTGAAGCGTGTCGTAATTCTGATCTTATGGAGTCATAGGTTGTTGTAAAGGTGTCCCCAATATCAACTATATTCTCTGTAAATTAAATATTCACAGATCAAGATGATGATGGAAACTTGACCTGACTGAATAGGCGGCTGAATAGTGAGTGAGTGAGTGAGTTTACTTTTACGCCGCACTCAGCACTATTCCAGCTTTATGGCGGCAGTCTGTAAATAATCGAGTCTGGACCAGACAATCCAGTGATCAGCAGCATGAGCATCGATTTACGCAATTGACATGTGTCAACCAATTCAGCGAGCCTGACCACCCGATCCCATTGGTTGCCTCTTACAACAAGCATGGGTTACTGAAGATCAATTTTCACCCGGATCTTCACGGGTTAAGGCTGTATAGAAGTGACCATGCCAATTAACACTTACTTCATGGTTGACTGAGCTCTAACAAGCAAGCGCTTAATGGCAGAAAACAGACTGGTGCATAACATCATACATCAAAATACTCGATATGTACATAAACGAAGTTTAGTATGTACAGTTTGTACTTCACTTTAGAAGGTAAAGGAAATCATGGTAAAAAAATCGGAAACATTAATAATAAATTTAGAGTCTTATTGTAAAATAATCACATAGTGGAAAAAGAGAATTTGTGTAAAAAGGAATTGCCTGCATGATAATAAAAAATACCAAACAAACTTATAACAAAGAGGTCAGGTCCATTAATGTATTTCCAACCTGTCTACTTTGACACCAAGGTGACAGGTGCGTGTACACACGTTCGTTTGGTGAGGGGCGGTGGGGTAGTCTGGTAGTTCCAGCGTTCACTCGGCACACCCCTAAGACCCGGGTTCGATTCCCCAAATGGATAGAGTGTTTGAAGCAGATTTTTGGTGTGCCCCGCCGTGATATTGCTGAAATATTGGCGTACAACAATACACACTCACTAGAGCGACAACTGCATGGTCCGTTTTGACAAGATATCTAGATACATTTTGGTACTACATCGTTTTAACTTCAGTATATTGACGTTTCATAGCGTAATATATCATATCCGTTTCAGATGGAATATACAATTTTGGTTCATATCCTAAAGAAATTGATCCAGAATGTCAGTGATACGCCCAGCACATTTCCATATTATTGCTTTTCTAGACCCCATGAACGCGCTAAACATCCACGAGAATAATTGATAGAAGCATGTGTAAAATACCACCAATTCTCCCTTCCGGGTGCCTACAATGAACGGTCCCTCGTACCTTCTTTGTTGAAGAGCACCTGTCATTTTTCTATTTTCATTCATGACATAATTATCCTTGCTTGGAAGATGTAAACAAAGCCATAACTTAAAGTTTGCTCACTGCATGTCACAGATTTGGGTCATCGCTGGTGCATAATTGAATGATGGATCTGAGTCAAGTGGGCATGAAACGCAGTTGACAACGAGGTGATATTTCGAATATTACCTGACAGACCCGAGACAGGTCTGTGGTGTGTTTACAAACTGTACAGCAATATCGATTTCTTTGGTTTGCCCACACTGTGGCTTTATCTGTATTATAACAATGGTAGATTTTGCGCGTTTTGTTTCTAAATACAGATTCAGGCCATCTTTGAATCAGTGCTGAAGCAGACGATACTCATTTTACTACGACAGTTAGAGATTTGGTCCGAGATTTGTTTATGTTTTGCTTCGTATTACCTTTGTCATGGCTGGTAAAAGAATTAATGACTTAAAATAATACACAAAGAAAGGAGCTGTAGTGATCAACATGCATTATCCCAATTCACAATTCATATTCTGTGTTCACAAAGCAGTGGCAATGAACAATAGCAATTAGACAGAACAATTATTTACATCAATGAATAATATATGACGCAGTGAACAAATACATAGTTGGTGTTTGGTATAACTCCTTTCTATAGACCATGCCGTGGAATTAATGAAAATCATAAACTCTGGCTAGGAGTATTCAAAAGTCATTATGTGTCGCAATATGTTAGGTTGCCCTAACCATGCTAACCCATACAAACCTTGAAACATGTCACTCATTGAGATATTTGCAAGTGTGTTTTATACACATAATCAATGAGCAGATCTTACAATGGTAAAATGTTCAATCAAAAATGTTCCAGTGACAGTCCATGAAAATAAAAATATATAATAAGTTAATAATTTGAAAGTTGAAAAACTTAATATGAGGAACACAGGCATTTTGAAGTACATGCTCACTCCTCCACCAAGTACTGATGAACATGACAGCATCATTATGTTAAATATCACATTTACTACAGGGACATTAGTGAGCTGGAAGATATTGTATATATGAAGTTTGCATTTTTTACACATTTCATAATGACATGAGTGAACTAGAAGATATTATAAATATATAGTTTGTACTTTTTTACACATTTTATAATGGCATATTTAAGCACATTTTCCAGGAAATTTCTTCTATAATTAGTAGACAGTCCTTCAGATGTGACCTGCAACCTTTCTTGAAGTTCATTTTGCAGTTCTGAAAGTTCATTTATAAGGCCAAAATATATATATGTATTTGTACCAGCTTCCCCAATGGACTCAAATCTGGAACCCCAGACCCATAGTTTTATTGTTCTCTTTTCTCCCCAAATTATCCAAATTTTCATGTATTTAAGGCCAAGAGTGGAAATTTGTTATATGGCAGTATTGATAAACCAGTCATTACCTCTGATATGGTAGCACTTAATTGTTATTTGAATGCAAGATTTTAGCATCAAATAACCTTTAAAAAAAACTTTTTAAAATAACATGAATGGTTCAAAGTCACTCACTCAACTCACTCACTCAACTCACTCACTCACTCACTCACTCACTCACTCACTCACTCACTCACTCACTCACCACTCACCCACCACTCACTCACTCACTCACTCACTCACTCACTCAACTCACCCACTCCTCCTCACCACCTCACCTCAACTCAACTCCAACTCAACTCAACCAACTCAACTCAACTCAACTCAACTCACTCACCCACTCACCCACTCACTCACTCTGAAACATACTCACTCTGAAGTTGACATGCAACAGTTCACATTCCATATTTCTTTTTGACTTTCAGGTGAAACACACGGGTGTTGAAAATGGAGAGCCAACCAGAGGACCAACCAGTAGTTACTCCAATGGATCTATTTACTGAAGCCCTGAGGAACAATGATTCCACACAGTCAATATCCTATCTGTCAGACCCAGTCTTCAGACTGAATGTATCCCTGGGTGAATGTCTCATTGAATGTGCCAAATATGGTAATCTGATAGCCCTAGACTTCATCCTCAACCTCCATAACCGAATCCATCAATGTTTGAGTTACACGGATGAATGCAACAAGCGTGCTCTTCACCACGCAGCCATGCATGGACCCCTTGAGTGTGTGGTGCGACTTGTCCGTGCGGGGTCGACAGTCAACTGCTGTGACATTGAGGGTTACACACCCCTGTTGTGTGCCTGTCAGGGAGGCAGGGCTGATATTGTACAGTACCTAGTCAAAGAGGGGGCACATATCAACTCGTCTCGGTCGTATAAATTTGGAGAGACTGCTCTGCATATTGCAACAAAACATGGCCATGCTGAGACCGTGTTGGTCCTGCTTGAAGGCCGTGCCGACATAAACGCCACCACCAGGAATGTTGATGGTAATGGAGGACATACCGCTCTACACAAAGCGGCAAACGGCGGACACACTCAGGTTATTGAAATTCTGTGTATGAGGGGTGCCATACTGGACTGGAAGGACTCCATGGGTAAAACTCCATTGCATGTATCGGCTGAGAAGGGAGACATTCTCAGTGTGGAGGTTCTCAACAAATATGGAGCTCCGATAAATCTCCAGGATGAGCGAGGTAAGACGCCGCTGCACTAGCAGTTCGAGAAGGCTACCCAGAGATTGTCAAACTCCTGGTCCGGTGTGGCTCGGATATTAATATGAGCGACACAAGAAGCCTGTCACCGTTACATTCAGCAATAGCAGTACTGAACTACGAGATTGCCGAGTCTCTGCTACAAGCTGGCGCTGTCGTCAACTGTCAGACAAATGACACACAGGAATCGCCTCTGATGGTGGCTCTCAGCATGGGTCGGCCAGACCTGGTGCAGCTTATGCTGAACAATGGAGCAGACGTGAATCTCTGTGACTTCAAGTGCTACTCTCCGCTACATCGGTCACAGACAATTGGATGTAAGATTGAAACTTTAAGCAGTATTTGGAGTAGCTTTGTTTTTGTTTTTTGTCACACTCAGCAATATTCAAGCTATTTGACAGTGGCCTTTGTTTTTGTTTGTTAGGGGTGGCGGGGTAGCCCAGTGGTTAAAGCATTCACTGGTCACGCGAACCCATGAAGATCCGGGTTAGAATTGGTCTTCAGTAACCCATGTTTATCGTAAGAGGCGACTAATGTGATCGGGTGGTCAGGCTCACTGACTCGGTTGACACATATCATGGCATCCCATTTGCGTAGATTGATGCTCATGCTGTTGATCACTGGATTGTCTGGTCCAGACTTGATTATTTACAGACTGCCGCCATATAGCTGGAATATTGCTGAGTGCGGCGTTAAACAACACAACAACCAACTACTTTCTGAAGAGTGATTGGGTGAGTGAGTTGGGTACCCATGTGGGGAATCCAACCTGGCTTTCAGTGTGCGAGCGAACACTTTAACCACTAGGCTACTGCCCACTTTCTGAATAAAGCACAGGTGTCAAAGGTTCCGCAATGGGATGAACACAGTTGATCTTGCCAGTGACCTATAGTCCTGAGTTTGAATCCTGGTTTACCCTGAGTATATTTCTAGTTTGTCAGCTCAAAGCAACCCTTGCTTGTTGGTTTCAACAATTTGGAAAAGGCATCAATTCAGAATTTTCTCCAGCATCAAACTGTAACAATGTGATATAGCTCAAGAACTCTGAAAACGGTGTTTAACTAAACACACTCAATTCTTCTACTTGCTGTAGCCAATTCTCTTCTAAGACCAGAACAATTTTATTTCTTGTTTTACGGATTTTTGTCCTCAGAAAACCTAAAGGCAGGAGGGGCAAAAAATAAAATAAAGTCACCAGTCAAAGTAATATTCCTTCTAAATACATGTACTCAAAGTATGTTACTTTTGGCAATTTATGACTGACTGACTGAGTATGGTATTGCGCCGTATCAATCACGGCGGGGGACACCAGAAATGGGCTTCACAAGTTGTACCCATGTGGGGAATCGAACCCGGCCTCGGGTGTGACGAGCGAACGCTTTAACCACTAGGCTGGCCCACCGCCCCGGCGATTTATGAAGTGTATATGGGGCAAAATTCAATCTAAAAACAAAATTTATTGTATGATTACATTTTTGGCCAAAGAAAGCATTTGGATTTTATTTTTTGAGTGGGGAAAATTAATTTTTATTTTTTTTCTTATTCTTGAAAAAATACGACAGGCGGATCTGTAAAACAAGAAATAAAATTGGTCTGGCCTAAACATTCTCTTGTAAACATTCTATCACTGCTTTATATTTCGTGGATGATGTTTTTCATGTCTGTGTGATATAGACTGAAGTACAAAAAGCATGTTGCTTTGTTGTGTTAAGACCCAGATGCTGTGAAGGAGGAGTTGACGGAGTTGCTGTTGCAAGCAGGAGCGAAGCTGAACGCCAGAGATCACCAGGGACACATTCCACTTCATCGTAGCATCTTCACAGGCTCCATCCGAGGTAGACAGTGTACACCTTGTATCCGCCTACTGGTGGAGGCGGGCTCCAAACTGAAGCAAGATACCTTTGCTCATACAAGGTAAGCATCATTGCTCAGTGTAAGTTAGATCCCCTCACTCACACAAGGTAAGCATCATTGCTCAGTGTAAGCTAGATCCCCTCACTCACACAAGGTAAGCATCATTGCTCAGTGTAAGCTAGATCCCCTCACTCACACAAGGTAAGCATCATTGCTCAGTGTAAGCTAGATCCCCTCACTCACACAAGGTAAGCATCATTGCTCAGTGTAAGCTTGATCCCCTCACTCACACAAGGTAAGCATCATTGCTCAGTGTAAGCTAGATCCCCTCACTCACACAAGGTAAGCATCATTGCTCAGTGTAAGCTAGATCCCCTCACTCACACAAGGTAAGCATCATTGCTCAGTGTAAGCTAGATCCCCTCACTCACACAAGGTAAGCATCATTGCTCAGTGTAAGCTAGATCCCTCACTCACACAAGGTAAGCATCATTGCTCAGTGTAAGCTAGATCCCCTCACTCACACAAGGTAAGCATCATTGCTCAGTGTAAGCTAGATCCCCTCACTCACACAAGGTAAGCATCATTGCTCAGTGTAAGCTAGATCCCCTCACTCACACAAGGTAAGCATCATTGCTCAGTGTAAGCTAGATCCCCTCACTCACACAAGGTAAGCATCATTGCTCAGTGTAAGCTAGATCCCCTCACTCACACAAGGTAAGCATCATTGCTCAGTGTAAGCTTGATCCCCTCACACTCACACAAGGTAAGCATCATTGCTCAGTGTAAGCTAGATCCCTCACTCACACAAGGTAAGCATCATTGCTCAGTGTAAGCTAGATCCCCTCACTCACACAAGGTAAGCATCATTGCTCAGTGTAAGCTAGATCCCCTCACTCACACAAGGTAAGCATCATTGCTCAGTGTAAGCTAGATCCCCTCACTCACACAAGGTAAGCATCATTGCTCAGTGTAAGCTAGATCCCCTCACTCACACAAAGGTAAGCATCATTGCTCAGTGTAAGCTAGATCCCCTCACTCACACAAGGTAAGCATCATTGCTCAGTGTAAGCTAGATCCCTCACTCACACAAGGTAAGCATCATTGCTCAGTGTAAGCTAGATCCCTCACTCACACACAAGGTAAGCATCATTGCTCAGTGTAAGCTAGATCCCCTCACTCACACAGCATCATTGCTCAGGTAAGCCCTCACTCACACAAGGTCATTGCTCAGTGTAAGCTAGATTCCCACTCACTCACACAAGGTAAGCATCATTGCTCAGTGTAAGCTAGATTCCCTCACTCACACAAGGTAAGCATCATTGCTCAGTGTAAGCTTGATCCCCTCACTCACACAAGGTAAGCATCATTGCTCAGTGTAAGCTAGATCCCTCACTCACACAAGGTAAGCATCATTGCTCAGTGTAAGCTAGATTCCCTCACTCACACAAGGTAAGCATCATTGCTCAGTGTAAGCTAGATCCCTCACTCACACAAGGTAAGCATCATTGCTCAGTGTAAGCTAGATCCCCTCACTCACACAAGGTAAGCATCATTGCTCAGTGTAAGCTAGATCCCCTCACTCACACAAGGTAAGCATCATTGCTCAGTGTAAGCTAGATCCCCTCACTCACACAAGGTAAGCATCATTGCTCAGTGTAAGCTTGATCCCCTCACTCACACAAGGTAAGCATCATTGCTCAGTGTAAGCTAGATCCCCTCACTCACACAAGGTAAGCATCATTGCTCAGTGTAAGCTAGATCCCCTCACTCACACAAGGTAAGCATCATTGCTCAGTGTAAGCTAGATCCCCTCACTCACACAAGGTAAGCATCATTGCTCAGTGTAAGCTAGATCCCCTCACTCACACAAGGTAAGCATCATTGCTCAGTGTAAGCTAGATCCCCTCACTCACACAAGGTAAGCATCATTGCTCAGTGTAAGCTAGATCCCTCACACTCACACAAGGTAAGCATCATTGCTCAGTGTAAGCTAGATCCCCTCACTCACACAAGGTAAGCATCATTGCTCAGTGTAAGCTAGATCCCCTCACTCACACAAGGTAAGCATCATTGCTCAGTGTAAGCTTGATCCCCTCACTCACACAAGGTAAGCATCATTGCTCAGTGTAAGCTAGATCCCCTCACTCACACAAGGTAAGCATCATTGCTCAGTGTAAGCTAGATCCCCTCACTCACACAAGGTAAGCATCATTGCTCAGTGTAAGCTAGATCCCTCACTCACACAAGGTAAGCATCATTGCTCAGTGTAAGCTAGATCCCTCACTCTCACACAAGGTAAGCATCATTGCTCAGTGTAAGCTAGATCCCCTCACTCACACAAGGTAAGCATCATTGCTCAGTGTAAGCTAGATCCCCTCACTCACACAAGGTAAGCATCATTGCTCAGTGTAAGCTAGATCCCCTCACTCACACAAGGTAAGCATCATTGCTCAGTGTAAGCTAGATCCCCTCACTCACACAAAGGTAAGCATCATTGCTCAGTGTAAGCTAGATCCCCTCACTCACACAAGGTAAGCATCATTGCTCAGTGTAAGCTAGATCCCCTCACTCACACAAGGTAAGCATCATTGCTCAGTGTAAGCTAGATCCCCTCACTCACACAAGGTAAGCATCATTGCTCAGTGTAAGCTAGATCCCTCACTCACACAAGGTAAGCATCATTGCTCAGTGTAAGCTAGATTCCCTCACTCACACAAGGTAAGCATCATTGCTCAGTGGAAGTAGCTATGGCTGAGTGGGTTAGATGGCTGACCCTCCGACCTGACAATATTAAATGCCTGACACTGAGAGTGTGGGTTCGAATATCAGATGTGACTGAACATAAAGAGTACTAGAATCTGTACTTTGCTGAGAAAGTGTAATTTCAAGGATGACATATGTGACAATGTTTTGTTTTTTGCACAATAGGTACTTAATATCTTGTTCAGCAATATTCCACTGTAAGGGACTGTTCCTAATTTATGGCTGGGGGGGTTGATGATGATTTTTATGGAGAAGTATGTACAATGTGAATGACCCCCAATAGAATTTATGTACAAGGTAAGCAACCCTGCTTCCCTGCATGTCAATGACCTCCCCTCCCATAATTTTTAAGCATACATATTTTAGATTTTCATGTACAAAATTGCTGACCCCCTAATACATGTGTACAAAATTGCTGACCCCACTACCTCCCCAGAACAAAATGGATAACCCCCATTAAATTAATATCACACACACACACCCCACCCCCACCCCAGCCATAAATTATGAACGGTCCCTGATAAATATTCATCTGTGTATTAATCAGTATATAATTTTGTTCCAGAACTTCACCATTATACTGGCTATGTTCCAAAGGAGATCTGAACATTGCTCGCTACCTTGTCCAGTGTGGATGGGAACTACAGTCCGAGTCCTGGATCCGTTTTGCAGGGAAAACTCCAGAGCAGACCCACCTCCATTATCTGTTCCAGATCCTCAACAAGTCTGTGCACTCACTGAAGATCCTCTGTCGAGCAGTTGTGAGGGAAACGGTATCAATATCAGTGGATGACAGGGAAATAGTATCTCCCATCTCTAGCCTCCCCTTACCTCTGGCAGTCAAGAACTTTCTCTGTCTGAGAACCTGTGAGGTTTCTGAGGATGATGTGTTGATGATGGAGAATCATTAGTTAGATCATTGCAATTGTCTTTTTAACAATCTCATTAAAACCAGATGTTTTAGTCGATACGATACCAGTTTGTATTCGGACCTAAGGATACCATTTTGTCCGGAGTTGCCTCGTCAGGTGATCTCTTTGAACAGCCATTGAGTATCAAGGTGTCGTAATTGTTAGTACGAGTGAACAAAGTGTTCATAAAAGCATATCTGATTTCTGTATCTCGAGAAGAAACAAACTGACCAGTTAGGATCCTATATGACTAAAGGACCGTTCATAATTTATGGCTATAGTCTGTTTGCAGTGAAAATGTACTGATGAATTTCACTTTAAAAAACACAGTAGATCAAATAAAATGAAATTAAGATTGCGAATCCTCATAATTTTACCTTGCCAATTGAACATTTAAATCTCAGAATTTTATTCAACTTAAACTAAAACTTGTTTAACAAACGATCATAGTTTCAAATCGCTATTATCGGTTTGTATTACAAGGGGGTAAACGCAGTAGTTTGAACAGTGAAACAAATGCACGTGCAGTACGTGATGAGAGTTAACTTCGACCAAGCCTACATGTTCTCGGTGTTTCATTTAATGTGCATACCCCCTTGTAGTACAAACCAATAATAGCGATTTGAAACTATGATCGTTTAAAGAACAAATAAACTTTGTTTTTTTTTTACTCTTTCAACTATTACATATGAAAGATTTGTGGTTAGTCTTATGCGGAACACCAAATTCATTCTTAAAAAAATTGTTGTTAATTAATATCGAGCGATTAAAAGTTGCCCAAAAATCGTCTGCTTGACTCTCGCCCGCCAACGAAACCACAGACAGGTTACGTAACTCTGTCGCCAGAGCACTGCAGTGACGTCATATGAAGAAGGATTTCCAGTTAGTTGTATATAAAGTGTGTAGCAAGCTCATCATTTTGATGATTTCTCGACATCAACGAAGACCTGCCGAATCGTTGCGTTGTCGTCAATTGCTCCTAGGGGTCGGGCGATGGTGTCACCATGCACAGATTTCCACAGGACTCGCAGTTCATGCTAAATGGGTTATGTTTGTAACTTGGTGAAAACAAACCTAAATAGCATTTATCCTCAGACTGGCGGATGTTCGCGACAGGGCGCCGCCATGTTAGAAAATCGTAAAGTCACGGGCTGAAGTCTGTTAGAATTAATGAGATTATGGTTTGTTTTCATCAAGTTAGAAAATCAAAACTACTTTCTACTCGTAGTTAAATATGTATTTGAATCATGACCAAAAAGTATTTTGGATGACACAACTTATAACATAACGATTTCTTCCACGTAAGCGAGGTGGGGATCGATGTGACAATACTGCACGATAAATTTCTTGCTACATTCACGTCGTTTACGTCCACTCAACAGTATGTAGATACTAGTCAATGTACGTCTTTATGTTTGGTCTTATATTTCTAATTAGTTTATTATCATACTTGTATGCATTTTGAAACTAAATAAAAAGCAGACGATCTGCTGATACTTATAGTGAATTTATAACAGGACTGTAATATCTGGACATTTTATAGTTTGCCAATGTGAATCATAATTCGCACACACGCCCTAGTGTATGTTGTCTGTCTCATTACTCTTCACGGCAAAAACAATGATTCTGTTGAATGCTACGACAAATGAATGCAGATATTTGTGATTTATTATTTTCTCGGTTTCCATGGAAATGATTCGGACTTAGTCTCAAAAAGAAAGGGATGGGTTTCATTTCCGGAGCACAACTGGAAAACTTCTTAATATCTTTCAGCAAAACTTGGCAGATATGTGAGGCAGATGCCAAAGTGGTGCCTTTTGCTATTTGCAGATTTTTGTCATTTATTTTTTTCATGATTTCCATGGAAACAATTTGCACTCAGTCTAAAATCAAGCTGGACTTTAAGTAACTGTCAGATGATTTGTTCTTTCAAGATGTGGAGGCCGGGGGGATATGTCATCTTCTGATGACTCTTGTTCACAACAGTTGTCAGATTTCAGGTTTATACAAACCTGTAAACAAGATAATTTACCCCCTGAAATGTTCATGAATTCTGCATCGGCCCTATATCTATTCCTCATATGACGTCACAGAGACGCGCCGCTCTGATTGGTTGAAATTTTGTCGCGGGTGAGAATTGTGCACTGTTGTCAAAATGGTCGAACTAAGTTAATTAAAGATCAAAATGAGTATTTTTATGAAAGGGTTTCATTTATAATGATGCAATTAGTGATTTATGTATTTGTCCCCCCCTAGAGTATATGTGATCTTTAATACATGTGTACAAAATTGATGATGTAACAAAATGGGTTAGACACACACACACACTCACACACACACCCCCCTTAAAATCATCATCACCATCAACCATAAATTATGAACGGTCCCTAAAAGCTACATTATGCTGTCGTGTCATTTAATCACCTAGGCAACTGCACCCAGAAGTTCCTTCAGAAGATTGTTTGTGTTCAGTGACGATTCAGAAATTAAATCTGAATTTAAGAAAAGTGAAATTTCGATTTGTTCAAGAACTCATGAATCTTTCATTCTTATTGGTCAAAGTTTGTTCAGGGTTATATTGTTGCTTGATTTCAATACAGAGAGATAGCGTATCAGATTTTAAAATCTGATTCTATTGAGATTGTCTTTGTATTATTCTATAATCAAACGATGTTGAATGCTTCCAGTAGTATTTATTTGTGCCCAAGGTAACGGTTCATGAGTGCATTGTGCTTGTTTATGTAATATGCTGTCAGGGTAATAGTGTTCAAATGGCTAAAGGGATCTTATAGAAGGGCATATACCGTAATCACTGTCATAAGCTCCCTGTTCCAATTAGTGCTGCCTGATCAACTTCTAGAACATTCCAATTAGCGCTGCCTGATCAACTTCTAGAACATTCTGTAAGTAGTATGTGTAAGTGCTCCCTAGAAAGACCAATTATTGACATGACGTTCAACATTTTCTTGCGTATAATAGAGATTATTATTACAAACAGTTGCTGGGCAACTATACTGAACACTTAAAGTTAGTGAACATGAACATTTCGGAGGGTATTTTGTGAAATTGTTTGTTTAGCCGTAACTACCCCCAAAATATCACCAAATATATTAGTTCCGTTGACTTTCTGTACCTGAAACAATGCTGTTTTACTTTACATGATGCTATACTGTGTTTCAGCCTTAACAAACGGACAGTATTGGTAAAAAATAGAGTTTAAAAACTGCAGATTCTTAGGCCCAAACAAAATAAATATATGTCCGTTTCCTGCTACATGCTTATAAAAAATAGGGTATGTGGGTCGATTTTATCTTCTTTTTTTAACTTTTTATTTTATTTTTCAATAGCACCAGTTGGGCACATGAGAATGTCTTCAAGGATACCATATCATGTTGTGACAATGCCTTGTGATGAAACATTGAAAGATTTCTAGATCAAATCATTATTCATGTTATTTATTTGCAGGTTTGGTCAGTAAGAGCCCATTATGCCATTTCAATGCAATCCATTTTAGCCCTATGTACACTAAAAACATGTTGAAATGCACTCCAGTCATGATTTTGACTTAGTTAAAAAAAAGATTGAGGATTGGGGGGGTTAGGGTAGGATTGGTCGGGTAACCGGAAACGGACATATTTTGTTTTTTGGCCTTAGCTATGCCCTGATATCTCAGAGTTATCCTTCATGGCTCCTTCTCCCTCATGTTTTTCTGGGTCTGCCTCAATGACAGACTTGCCTGGTTTTAGTGGTGTTCACCCAGTATATCCTTCCCCCGATGTGTACATCTCATTCTCTGCAGTACATTTTCTGCATTTCCTACACCTTTACCATTGTGGCATCACTGTCCATGTAGCACCTGCTGCCATACAGTGAAGAACATTAGAGAGTATGGGCCAAGGGGGATAACTCCCAATGATTAGAAGCCTGCTCCAGTACTGTCTGGATGTTAAAGGTCACATGCAACGTAAAACACAACTTTGCAGATTCTGATATCTTTCGGTATGGACTTACCGAAACAAGGCGTCAAAAATGCAAATTCAACTTATAAAGTTGAAAAATAACGCGATGAAAAAAACCGCGCGAAATCGGAGTTCAAACGTTTCACTAATTTTCCCCAGACTTTTCTGGGGAATACGGGTTTCAACAGCTGGGCTGCGCTCATAGCACGTGCGCAGTGAAATAGGTTTGCGCAACTTGGAAGCGGGCTGTCTGGTGAATACTCGGTGAAGGCTTTGGTGTGAGCTATTTTCATAATGTTTTGTTGATATCTCACAGGCGAGAACTTTTTATATGTTATGACAGTAAATAAACTGTTTATATAATTTCATTTGTCTATTTCACCACACATTCTTCTTACCGAGTCACTTTCTCAGTTCGATACTTAAAAGCAATGTCATTATATAGCGTTGACACAATTTCTAACTGTGATATAGATATGTCGCTGTCAAAACTCAATGTCTTGTTTTGTGTGTCTGCCTGCCTGTCTGCTAATGACAATATTCAATACACAACTGCGATCACTGACCACATGCAATTTGAACTTAACACCAATCAGGCTATACACCATAAACAAAACGCATTGATTTATGGCCCGAGTTCGGTCTCTGTCACATTATGTAATTACACAGACAGGCAGGTGTGATACTTGAACACATGACATGTTATGATGTCTGTTGATTGCAAAATGTTATACACAAAAAATGAGCATGTATTTACAAAACCCAACATCTCTATATATACACACACAATGGCGGCATCTGCTAATGAACCAGCCGTTACACTTGAGTGCACACCCACCCGCTCTGACTGGGTTCGGTATCCTGGCTGCTTCGTTTCGAGGGAGGTAAACCCAAGTACAAAATATTGCACTTTTGATTTGCGATTATACGCTTATAATTTTGTTTATTTGTTTTTTCATAATCAGCAATGCATATTATATGTCATGAAGAAGTGATAATTGTGTTTTAATTGTGTTTGATTTTTTGGTTGCATGTGACCTTTAAGGTAGGGAAACTAAAGCATATATTAACTGAATCAGCGCCAATAGATCAATTTGAAATACGTCCAAACCGTTTAATCTAGGAATGGCATTATTAAATATATTTTTACATCAGTGTCTATTAAAGGAGAAAATATTTTGAAAAAGTTGGGCATTTATCATCTGAATTTCTAACCCAGGACATCTCTGAGATGAAATAGACCAGAAATTGTCTTTGTTTCCCATTTAGAACCCCAAAGATAGTTAAGATAAGAAATGTTATTGACCACATAATTACTGTTTGTGACAATTGTATTGACTACTTCTTGCATCTTTGCCTTATAAAGT